TGTTAAATGGAAATTGTACATTTACTTTGCAAAATTTATGGTGATTTATGCTAGTGACCGCAAAAAATCGGTGTAAAGCAACAGTCATTCATACAGTTAATGACCTGAGTAACTCAAGTCCTGTGCAAAGATGCAGGATCGCGCGGGCCCGCCCGATGAGCTCCGGCCTAGGTTTTTTTATTTTTATCGTTTCACTGGTAACTTCCCAAAAATAACATTTGCAGAATTAAATGTACGTACACGATTTATGAGAAATCTCTATTAGTACTTGACAGTAGCGAAGAAAGCGGCCAAACTGCACAGAGGCCAGGAGGCGGGCCAACAAAATGGTTTATAGTGTAGTGATTAAAACGGTTCGAAAGATTCGGAGATGGAGAAAATGTTCTTTCCAAGTTTTTTGCTTGTAAAACAAAATTTCATATGCTACAGGCGTTCCACCTCGTTGTTGAAATGGTGAATGTATTTTAGACGGTTTCTTTGATAAGTGAGTAAATATCGTACCTCGGATCAGCAATCATATCACTTGCGGCTCGCAAGCCTTTACGCATGTACAACACTGCGTTGTCTAAATCGCCTCCGAGTTTCAACAAATATCCGTAATAGGCTTGAGCCACTCCGTTCGTCGGCGAAATTTTCAAAACCTGTGTGATTTTTCATTTAGGTGCTTAATCCAGAAAACATCTTTCGCCAGTCTGTAAGGCAACAAACTACACTCGAGAGTTGCAACCCTAGAGATGAGATGGTGTTGCTCCGTACAAGTCAATGAGTGGCGTCTTGAAATGACCAGAAAATTGCCACGTATCAATGTCCAGAGGAATCGCTGGTCTGTTAAACTTTTCATGCAACAATGTGCCATTATCACCCGTAAACTGGGCACTTGGCGACGCAGTCGTGGCTACAGTAGCTGGAAAAGTGTCAGCTGCATAGCTGGAGGACCGGACAACGGATAACAGCTGTTCTAGATATTCGGAGTCTCTACATTTTGAGCATTAACTAAAGGAATCAGCCAGACGCTTTGATGCATAACCTCTGCAGGCAATGCTGAATACCTGCATTCTGCCTGTGTTACAAAGTACTACGTAAAACCAACATTTTCGAAAATTCTGCGTGCGTCATCATCACGTCCCATCATCAGAAACGTTAGTGCTTGATCGTTGTGCAGCTGTAGATCATCCGGGTAGCGATCAATCAGAGAACGCTGTGCTTGCAGCACGCGGTGCAATAAACCTCGAAACCTTGCTCGATCTATCAAGCGATATGCTGCTTGCCTGAAAGTTACTTGTTTTACCTAATAACGTATAAAAGAAGCTCACGCGTGATCGTTACTAAAAGCACACAAAGCTGCCAAGTTTATGCAAACCAAACACTGCAGAACACCCGTTTTGATAGTCGGGGTTCATTACGGTACAACGACAAAGATAAATAAATAGCGGCGCACGCTAGAGTAGCCGGTCCAACCATGCGTTTTGTGCAATTCCGTCTAACGAACGAGTGCCTGCTAATGATTTTCGCTGCTCCGAATTTAAATTTGAGAAGTTGTACATGGGCACGGAACAGTTCCCCAAAATTTCAGCTTCTTAAATTCCGCGGTTCCTGAGATAATAATTTGCCCGCCAAAGTTTCACGGGACGACACGTGGTACCTGCGGGCACGGGAAGGCTGAATTTAAATTTTCTGGATCGCACGTGGGTGTGGAACATTCCTCTAAGTTTTCAGATTCCTAGTTTTTGTGGTTCCCTGGTTGAAAGTTGCTGACAACTTGTTGCAGACATACACACACTCACACACACACACACACACACACACACACACACACACACACACACACA